CCCCCCCCCCCCCCCCCCCCCCCCAAAAAAAAAAGAATGACTCAAGAGTACATTCTAGAATGTCAAGGAGGTGGGAAATTGGGTCAGATTAAGTAATTTACACAGTAGTACAGGGATGTGGCGCTAGATAATAATGAACAGGACTTGGACTTTTGAGGAGAGGATAAAAGGAACGGGAAACATAATACAACTATCTGTAATAGTCTATCAAAATAAGACAAGGACAGGTATGGTGGAGCACACCTGTAGTCCTAGGGACTCAGGAGATTGAGGCAGGAGGTTCACAAGTTTGAGGTCAGACTCAAAAACTTGGTGAGGCCCTAAGCAAGTTGGTGAGATCCTGTATCAGAATAAAAAGGGCTGGGATGTGACTCAGTGAATGCCCATTACAAAAGAGAGAGAGAGAGAGAGAGAGAGAGAGAGAGAGAGAGAATGAGAATGAGATTAACCTAAGCTCACTGGAGCAGCTACAAGTTGTATGACAATTGAGGCACCCAGCAAAGGCCTCTTCAGGGGAGTCATTTTTGATGTAACTGAGAGGAGAGGCCCTTCACCTCCTCCCCAAACTTTTCCCTCTTGTACCTGGGGTGCGTCTCCGGTCAATCAAGGAGTCCTTTGGTGTCATTGGCTCATCATCGAAGTCAAATTCCGTAGGCATGTGAGGTCTGGGACAGGTGGACAAAGAATGAAGGGTAAGAGTAGTCCTCCCAAACACCCACACGTTTTTCCCCAACCTGTCGGCTCTTCCTTTCCTGTTCCCTTCCTCCACTTTCTAAGCTCCTGGGTCCCACTTTTTTTTCCCCTCTCTATTTTCTCCTGGCATCAGGAGAGCAGTCCCAGTGACAAAGTGTAAGATTGTGCTCTCACTTTTCCTCTTCTTCTTCCTTGGCCTCCGGCTCCTCATCAGATCTCTCCTCTTCACTCTGGGCTTCGGGTGTAGGGGGCCGTCGGGGCAGGATCTCCGCTTGAAGCTCCAAGGTACCTTGGACAGCCAGCAACTCATAGAGCCGCTGGATTTCAGAGGGCGGGGGCATCCAGGGCTGTCCGTCCTCGGGCAGCTCCACCTCCTCGTCGCTGCAGGGCACGCACCAGTCCTCGGATTCTCCCTCGACACGCTCCTCCCCCTCGGCGCTGGGTACTTCTGTTGCCTCCTCAGTCCCGGGCCCGGCATGCTCGGCCTCCTCCTGTCCTCCTTCCCCCTCTTCCTCGGCCTTATTGGCCAAGACAGAGGGACCTCCGGTATCCTCCACGGCCAGAGCCTGGAGGCCGGAAGTCACTTCCCCTTCTTCAGACAGAGGCGCCGCCGTGGTGGACGCAATGTCTCCATGACCCCGGGCAAGGGACATAAGCCACTAGGGAAGGGGCCTAACAATATAGGAAATGCTGGAGTACCAAACCAGGTCCTCCCGCCCCAAGTGATTGGGATCCCCAGGGTTTTAGAAAAATCTCTCTTCAACCAATCAGGCTCCAACAGTATTCTAAGTGGCCAGAGCGCCTATCCCCGGGAGGGGGCGCTCAGACCCCTGCAAGGTAGGGTCCCACCCCAAAGATCGAGATCCGGCACTCTGACGGTCCCGAGGACCCGCAGAATCCAATTTCCGAGTCAGAGAGGGGCGGAGCCACTAGTCTCGCCTTCATATCACTGCTCTCCACAAGTGGACCCCGCACCCTCTCGCCGGACCTCGCAGTTGGGGGCCGCGTCGACTCAGCCGCGGTACGCACCTGGAGCTAAGACCCGCCTCCCGGGCTGCGCAGAGTCACAGTACGCAGGCGCATAGAAATGGCGCGGGAGGCTCCGCTCTAGTCAAAGCTACTTGGGATAGGAAGGCAAGGGAAGGTTTGCACATGCGCAGGTAGGCCTCTGGCATAACAGGCTTTGGCCCACAGTAAAGATGGCCACCACGCCGGCGCATGCGTATACCATCCTTTGGGTTCTGCCGGGAGGCAGTGCTCTGGCCGGGCAGACGAACGCAGGGACCAACAGAGACTGGAGGCGAGTCTCATGCAGTCTCCGTTTATTGGTGTTTCAGACTCATGCAGCATTCAGCATACAAAAAGGGAGAATCAGTTTGATATATTTTTCTTAAAGGAGTTTTAGGGTCTTTTCCCCCAGACTTTTTTTTTTTAAGAAAACAAAAAACCCGCCAACTCTGAACCTCGTCGTAGCTGGCTCCCTGCCTCCTCAGTGGCTGTCGCGTGCAACCAACCTCCCTCGTCCTCTTGGAAAACAATTATAGAAGTCACCCGCCCCTCCCTCGCTCTGGGCTGCTGAAAGCTTTGGTCCTATTTTTTTTTTTTTTTTTTAATTCTTTCCTTACAAAGCACGCAAGTGGCCCGAGCCCTTACACCTTCAAGGAAGAAGCTCGTGGGCTGAGGTTAAAAGACCCAGGTGGGCCGGTCAACCCTGGCTGACTCCTCTACCGCCGCGCCTCTCCCTACTTCCCTGTGTTCAGAATTGCTTCCACCATTGCACAAGTCCCCAGATGGGGCCTGGCTTGCAGCTCTGCGACCCAAAAGGCGCCCGGTGAGGGGGTGGTCTGAGCCTGGGTGGTCCCAGCAGAGAACAGTCGGAGCCCCAGGCTAGGTAGCCCCCTCCCAATACTGCTCCCTTTCCCCCAGCCTGATCTAAGTGCTGGAGCTCTTGCAGAATAAATGATGGCAGGAGGGTGGAGGAAAGGATGCTAAGGGAAGATGAGGAGGCAGAAAGAGGAAGGGGGTGGGTGATGTAAAAAGGGGAGGGAAGATGATAAAGGAATGGAGAAAAGGAATGGGGTTAGATGCCAAGACAATGAAAGTCAGGAGAAGGAAGACGAGGATGAGGTTCAGAGAATTCAGAAGGCTGGGAGAAGTGCAGGGAGGTGGGGAGAGATGCAGGGAAGCTGAGAGCTCAGAGAGTTTGGGAGATGTTCAGGGAGGCTTCCAGAAGTAGGAAGGTTTCCAGAAGTGCAGGGTTAGGGAGGCCAAGAGGCTGGAGGGGCTATCCACAGGCAGAAGTGCAGGGAGGTTGGAAACAGTGCAGGGAAGAGGGAGGCCTACGGTTGGCAGAGGAGCCTGGCAGGATGCAGGAACAGGAGAGAAGCTGTAAACAAGGCCGCTCAGGCTCCCTTGGTCCCTAGGGATGGGGGCCAGGGCCATCAATTGGGCTCCCCCCAAGGGAGGGATGGGCCCAAGGCAGCTCCCAACAGGAAGAAAAGTCTTGGAATGCAGGGCAGAGCCCCTCACTTATACACTGTGGGAGAGGAGAGGGAGGGAGAGACAGAGACAGGGTCAGGGAGAAAGGGGAGACAAGGAGAGACAAAGGAGAAGTAGGGAGGACAGACAGGAGAGAGCAGGGGCAGGGGTTAGTAAAGCTGCCCTTGCCAACCCTTCCACTCCTCCCCTGCGTGTCCCTGACCCCCACTCACCGCCCAAGTTGATGACGCAGGAGGCGATGATGATGAGGACCCCCCCCACCAGCGCCACGATGCTTAAGAGCTTGGCCACACGGCCCAGACGCTGGGCCCCATCCACGTCCCCCTGCTGCAGACTGTTCCGGGACTGGGGTTAGGGTGTGGGGTGGAGGTACCATGGCCCAGGTCAGGAGAAGCCAGCCCAGCAGGGATCAGGTGAGTCGTCCAGAGGCCAGCCCCATGAGGTTACGGGAGGAAGGGGGAAGAGGGCACAGGTCAGTGAGGCTGTGTGACATATGTCTCCATATTCCTCCCACCGAAGGGGTAGGGCAGTGGTGGCTCAGAAAGTTAGATCCTGGGCAGGACCAGCAAAGGCTGTATAAGTGGGGCAGTGGGAACCATGCAGAAAGGGTAGGGAAAGTGTGGTTTATCCTGGGGCTCACCATGACGGCATAAGCGAAGGCCACGATGTTGACAGGCCACATGGGGCAGAAGCAGGACAGGATGGCAAGGATGATGTAGTCACGAGGTTTCTGGGTGCCTTCACCTCCCTCCACCCCAGGACCTGCCAACTGGGAGCTGGGGTGGCGGCTTAGGCTACCTCGGGGAGATCCTGGATGCCCACTATGGGCCCTTCCTATTCTGTCCTCCTCAACCAGCTGCTGCAGCACACGGGGGGGAGCCCCATTGGCTGGGGGCGTTTTTGTTGAGGGTGAGGAGTGAGGCTGGGGTGCTGGGCCCTCTTCCCCATCCCCAGCCTGTAAAGGGATCACTGCCCCATTCTCTTGCTTTTCCCCTACACTTTCTGTCAGGACCTCAGGGGTGGGGTCCTCCTGGGTAGGGGGCTCTATTTGAAGGGCTGGTTTGGGGGTGGGCTGGGAAGCTGGCTGAGGGTCTGACTGGGAGTCTAGCTGGGAAGCAGGCTCTGAGGCTGGCTTGGGAGGGGCTCCAGACTCCTGCTCAGACCCCTGGTCTGCAGTGGCTTCTTTGTTCATTTCTGGTTTGGATGCTGGCTCTTTGCATGCCTCTTCAGGGATGGAGTTGGCTTTTGAGTCCCCTCCTGGGCTTAAGCTAAGGTCTGTGGCCTGAGCTGTTTCTGGGGCCCCAGCTGGGGTGTCTGTAGTTTCTGGAGCCAGCCCAGCATCAGGCCCTGAGTCCACAGGGGCTGCAGTGGTGTCTGGGCCTGGCTGTGGGGCCTCTGGCTGGTCTGGGACCTCTGCTAGGGCCTGGAGAGGGCCAGTTCCAGCTTCAGAATGGCCAGGCCCTTCTCCCTGGGTCTCCGGACAATCCTCGACCCCCTTCATCTCAGAGCTGCTGGCTGCCATCTTGAGATGGGAGAGGGGAGAGAACCCCTGTGGGAAGGAGGGAACAGCAGACAGTAGCAAACCCTGCAAGAGGAGGAGACAGGCTTGGTGTGAGGAGAGAAGTGGGGCTGTCAGCACTGCAGACCCAAGAGGGCCAGGCTCCTGTCTCAAGGCCAGCCTTGTGCTGTCTCTGGGACGAAGAAGAAAAGTTGGGGTTTCCTTTGTTTTGGGGTGGGACATCCCTGGGGGAGAAGTGCTCTACTCAAAGCTTCCTGCATGGGCGCCGGTGGAAGAAAATTACTTTTATAAACAGGACTCTCCTCAGGGTCTCATCTTTGGTCTGCCCAACAGAATCCAGTCTCTCACATCCCAGCAGATACCCCAGCACCCCCAAATCAACAAACTGTGCAGCCGCCACCGGGAAACTCCGACAGGCAGATTGGGCAGGGGATCTGACACACACACATTCCACTCCCTCGGCATCCTTCTCTCCTCCCTGGACGCCCAGGCGGTGCCGGTATTCTTGCTGCGCGTTTGGGGCGCAGACGCCCCTGCCTTTTCCTAGGGGACCTGGGCATCTCCTGAGTTGCTTTTGAGCCCCTCTTAGGGATTTCCTCGCCCTCCGCGGGCTGGCACCTCCTCCTCCCCATGGCGCGGGGCACCCAGCACCACCTTCCAGCTCGCCCGGCGCCCGCATTCCCGTGCAATCAGGCCGTCTGTAGGTCCACTCCTACCCGCAGCTTCAGTCCGTCCCAGTCTCACCTCGACGCCGGCCTTCAGACTGCTCCCGCCGCCGCCGCCGCCGCTGCCGCCGCCGCCGCCGCCGCCGTTGCAGCAGCCGCAGCCCGGGAGGGAGCAAGTCAGCTTAGGAAGGAGGGAGGCGGCGGGTCTCCCCTCCTCTCTCCTCGCATTTGCTCGTCCCCTCTTCTCTGGTCCCCTCCCCTGCGCTCCACTGCCGCCGCGCGCCCGCCCCCGCCCCTTGCACGCCTCCGGCCCCTCCCGGCCAGCCCAAGGGAGCCTCGCGTGCCAGGCCCTGCGTTACCAAGGCAACAGACCCAGGGACCACTCGCGACCCCTCCCTGCCCCTTCCCACGCGCGCCTCCCGGCGGGACGCCCCCTTCCTAAGTCCTCGGCCCCTCCCGCCAACGGTCACCGGGGGCCCTGGCAGAGACCGGGGGTCTGCGAGGAGAGACGGGACTAATGAGGCAGGCAGGAATGGGTGGAGGCACCCCTACAGCAGAAAGAGGGCAAGGGAGATGGGGCAAAATTTGGGGAGGCTGCAGAAAAGCAGGGTGGGGTTTCAAGAGAAGGGAGACTGCAGAACAGTAAATCTTCCTATCCCCAGGGAAGGAGCAGCAGAAAATGGATATTGGAAGGCTCAGGAAAGGGTTCTTGGAAAGGACGGAGCTAGGCAAGGAAAGGGAATTCCAATAGAGCCTGCAGGGACAGCTTGGAGCAGGAGGGGCTAGGACTGAGGATCCACCGCAAATGCAGGGCGCCGATGCGGATGATGCGGAGATCGTGCAGGTGGAGTGCAGTTATTCTGAATCTTCCTGCTCCTGGCCCCAGGGCTCAGGCCCCCTCAACCTTTCTGCACCTACATTACCCATGATGGCTTTTCAGGGTTAAGGGTGTGCAGGTATTTGTCCAGGGTCCTGAGCAGCTGGCAATGAGTACAACCAAGGGAGAGCAGTGTTTATGTTCAATAGCTGTTTGGATGCCTAACCTGGGCCTCTTCAAACCTTTAGTGGTTATTCTGGACCTGCCCAGATTATTTCCCCAGAAACCTGGGAGCCCTAGAACTTGCTCTCCACATCCATTGGAGCTTTGGCCACACCCTAAATCTGTGCTGCCACCCCGAGGGCTGTCCTTGGGGAAGGAGGAGCCAGAGCACAGAGCTATATACAGCAAAGCAAGGTTGGGACTGATACCAGGCACAAGAACCACCCCCTACGAAGTAAGGACAAGGGGCTTAGTGAAGGAAATTCATTGAACCCAGAGCCAGAACCAGGTTTTATTTAAAATTTATTGTAATAGGGTCCGCGCAAAAGGAGGGGGGTGGAGGGTGAGGAACATGCAGGGGACACAGGAACACGATGACATGGCCAGGGCCACAGCTTCTGTCATGGGGAAGAGGGATGAAAAGAAAAGACCAGGGCAGGAGCTGGGGTGGAAGAGGGAAGGGGGAGACACTGGTTGCATTCCCCCTGCCCCCAGGAAGCACCTCTAGTCCCTGGTTCCCCTTATTTACCCTGGGCCCCTCAGATTCCATCTCCTGTTCTGCCTCTGGCGCTAGTGGCTCCTTCTTTTGCCCCCTTTGACTTTCCCCACCCCCACAGATTTTCAAGTAGGATGACGTTTAGGGACTAACCCCCAACAACCCTACCTAATGAACTTCTGCCTTCCCTGCTTCTGCCCCTTCTCTAATCTCAACTTTCTCCTTCTCTGGGACAGAATCTTTGACTCCCCTCCTTCCTCTCCTCCCTCCCCCTGGAAAACAAAACAAAACAAAAGAAAAAAGAAAGAAAGAAAAAAAAAGCACCAACTCCCCAGGGAGGGGCAGCAGACAGAAGGGAGAGGACTGGAAGGAGGAGAGCAAGGACCACGGAGGGAAAAGGCTCACAAATCCCTGGGAGGGCAGGGCAGGGGATTACAGAGAGGAGAGGGGGTGAGGGCAGTGGCTGCTCCTGTCCTCTGCCACCCCTGCCCACTGTCCAGGGGACTTCAACACAACCAAGGGAACAGGTGTGTATAGGGGTCAGCTCTGGTAGGGAGAAGAGAGGAGCAGGAGAAACAAATCGTTAAATCTAGTGAATTCCCCTAAGAACACATTTCTCCCTCCTTTCCTTCTGGAGGCTCCTTGGTTGGTGAGGGAGTAAAGAGAGTTGGTGGGAAGAGAGGGGGAGAGGAGATTGTACCAAGGGGCTTTTCTCTGCTCTCCCTTCTCCCCCCACCAACTTGGAGCTCACCAGGGCTGGGAGGGAAGTGGCTGAGAGCTCACTGGCACCCCCTCGGGCCCAGAGAGGGAGCCCACAGCTGTGGGAGGGGCTGCCACTGCTGCTGCCGCCGCTGCTGCCGCCGCTGCTGCTGCTGCCGCCGCCGCCGCCATTGGACAAACCTCACCAGTACCTGCACAGTGAGAAATACCAAGGATCACAGCGCGACCTGAATGGCAAGAGCCATACCCCTTAACCCAGACTCTTTTTCCAGACTACTTCCCCTGGGACACAGCCGTTGGTCACTTCCTATCTGGTCCCCAGAGGCTTTGGCCTGACTCCTTACCCAGACAGAGCAGTTCTCCTGAAGGGCCCTCCCTGGCCCTGGAGTCTCCCTAACCTGAGTGATAGATTGGTATCCCTAGCCTTCCTGAGATCCCCTATAGGGCCCTTTGAGCCCTCTTGTCCCACACACCCCATCCCGCCCCCCCAGCCATGCCCCACGCCTTGCCTGGTGGGTGCGGGGGTCCCCCTCAGCAGGTGGGCTGTGGCTGGGGGGCATCTCCCGGGATAGGGGGGGCGGCCCCCCCCAGATGGGTCTGCATGTGGCCGGCCAGCTGGGCAGGGGTCTTGCAGTGCACGCTGCACAGCTTGCACAGGATGCGGTCAGCCCGCGGGGCCTGGAGCCCATGGTCCTTCACCGCGTGGATGCGCAGGTATGCTGCTGTGGTGAAGCCTATGGGGGGGTGGATTGGGATGGGGGGTGGGGGTCAGCCAGATGGAGACCCCAGAGACGGGGCTGTTCTCCTAGGCTGGGGACGCCCTTCTCAGATGGCCCTGTCCTCCTCCCACCACATCCTTGGTAGCCTGGGGCCAACTACTCTGCTGGAGCTGGTGGGGCACAGGCAAGGCCCCTCCCTGAACCAGGGGCCTGATTTGAGTGGTGCCTACTTCTCAGTCTTGGAAAGCACAAAGCTCATTCTTTCTTCATGGCTGGGAGATCTCTCCAGGGACAATAGGACACTGATTCCTAGCTACTTTAAGGGTTGACTCTCAGGAAAGACGGCTGTGTCCCTTCCCTCCAGTGTCCCACAGTCTCAGCCCAGTTACTGAGTTAAGTGCATTTAAAAGAAACTTTTTCTGCTACTGGGCCAGGATGTGTGCTTGTTAAACCCCTGCCAGTGTACTCCATTTGCCCAGGAGCTGGAGACAAGAACTTGTGGCTACATGGCTGAACCTTGCCTTCTGACCCATGGGGACTGGCTCTCTTGACTAATTCTTTCCCAAAGCAGCCATGTCCCACTTCCAATTCTTCCCCCACACACCCAGGAGGTTCAATCTTTCTGGTAGATCGTCTCTTCCAGCTATGGCTTCTCAGAATTTAGCAATGTTCAGTTGTTCCCAATGCTGCTTGGTTTGCCTCCCAAAGGGCTCTAGATGCCACGAGCTCTTGGCTACAGCACCTTTAACCCACATCTGTGGAAGAGCCACCAGCTTTGTGCCTCCCCTTTTTCCCTGGCCCTCTTGACATCCCAGAGCATGTACCTTTGTTGCAGAGCTCACAGACATGGTGAGGGCCCTGGCTGTGCACCTTCATGTGGTCCGAAATATAAGCCGAGCTCAGCATCTTGCCACACACATGACATGGCACCTTCTCCTCGTGTCGTACTGTGTGCGCCCGGAGTCGATCCTTCGTAGCAAAAGCTGCCTCACATTTCTGGGGAGGGGGGAGGGGCGTGGGGGGTGTCACAGGAGAGTTAAAGTTTCGGGGAGTAGGGAGAAGGGAGCAAGAGGTTAAAGGGATCAGAGCCTTGGGGATCTTTGATCTGTAGGAAATGGGAGTGTGATGACGAGGCCTTGAGGAAGAAATGAGAAAATGGAGTGAAAAGGCAAAAAGAAGAGAGAGAAAAAGGGGGTCTGAGAGGCTGAACTCAGACAACTACAATGAGGCTCAAAATCATGAAAACCAGGACAGGAGGAGGCGGGCTTCCTACCTCACATTTGAAGGGCCGCTCTGTGGAGTGCACTTGTCTGACGTGACTGTTGAGGTGATCCGGCCTGGGGATACGTTCGGGTCGGGGGTTAGGGCCGAGGCCCTGAGATTGGGAGGTGCTGCCTCAAGTCTTGCCTAGCTGCCCATTG